AGGGATGCCGGGCAAGGTTGGGGGAGATCCAGGGGGTCTCTGGCAGGTGGGGCGGTGGGCAGGAAGCTCGTCCTGCAGGGTGAGGCAAGGCAAGGCGAGGCAGGGCGGGGGTGCCATTGTCCCAGGGCAAGGCGAGGCAGGGGCCGGGGCGGCTGCTGCCTGACACCATCGGCCCCCGCACACAGAGGCCAGTGAGCGCATGGGGGCTGACAGCGTCCGTCAGCAGTCACAGCTTGCCGGCCCCTCAACCGGCGCACTCTGGGGCTCCACAGCCCACTGCTAGCAGTTCAGAGAATCCGCCTCTGAGCTGGATAGCCAGCCAACAGCTGAGGAGGCGAAGTACTGGGTTGTGCCCAGGAAAAGGAGAGCATGCGAGGCCAGGAGGGAGGGGACGGGGGGGGGGAGGGAAACCAGCCGTGCTGGGATGCATTCGGCCATGTGGGACCTCGGCGAGTTAGCAGGCGGTTGGTTGAAGAGGGACAGTTGCCATCTCCGGGGCATGGCACGCATGCCCACAGAGAGTGCTCTGAGTGCCGCCTCTGGTACGCGTGCCATAAATTCGCCACCACTGGTATAGGCTGTCAAACCAAACAGAGGAAATAGATGAACTTTTTGCTAGTCAGCTAACTAAGGTATGTACCAAGCACATCACAATAGTAATGGGGGACTTTAATTACCCTGACATCAACTGGGAGAAAAACTCTGCACCAAGTGGAAGATCAAACAGATTCCTGACAAATCTAGCAGACAACTTTGTCTCCCCAAAAGTAGAGAAGGGAACTAGGGGATCAGCCATACTGGATCTAATTCTCACTAACAGAGATGAAATGATAGAAGGTATTGAAGCCACACGAACCTTGGGGGGAAGTGATCATGCAATATTGAAATTCAACATTAGGGAAGCAAAAGCAATAGAACACAGCCAAACTAGAGTCTTGGACTTTAAGAGAGCTAATTTCAATAAACTTAGAGCGAGCTTGGGAAGGATTCCATGGATGAGAATCCTCAAGGGGAAAACAACTCAAGAAGCTTGGGAAATTTTGAAAAGTTAGATAATAAAAGCCCAGTCTAGCACAATACCAGCAAAGAAGAAAAATAACAGCTCTCAAAAGTAGTAACTGTGAGAGGGATCTCGGAGTCCTAGTGGACAATCCCTTAAATCTGAGCCAGCCGTGTGCTGCAGCTGCCAAAAAAACCAACACAGTGCTAGGCTGCATTAACAGAGGGATAGAATCAAGATCACAAGAAGGGTTAATATTACTTTACAATGCCTTGGTAAGGCCACACCTGGAATACTGCATCCAGTGTTGGTCACCATGATCTAAAAATGATGTTGAGACTCTATAAAGAGTACAGAAAAGAGCAACAAAGATGATTAGGGGACTGGAAGCTAAAACATATAAGGAACAGCTACTGGAATTGGGTAGGTCTAGTTTAACGGAGAAGGATGAGGGGGGACATGACAGCTGTCTCCCAATATCTCAAGGGTTGCCACAAAGAAGAGGGAGTCAAGCTATTCTCCAAAGCCCCTGAAGACAGGACAAGAAGCAACGGATGGAAACTAATCCAGGAGAGAAGCAACCTGGAACTAAGGAGAAACTTCCTGACAGTGAGAACAATTAACCAATGGAACAACCTGCCTCCAGAAGCGGTGAATGCTCCAACACTGGAAGTTTTTAAGAAAAGACTGGACAGCCATTTGTCTGAAATGGTATAGGGTCTCCTTCCTGAGCAGGGGGTTGGACTAGATGACCTCCACGGTCCCTTCCAACTTTTATTATCATTATTATCATTATTATTATATCCTGCAGGGCCAGGCTTCCAACTGATTTAACTCTGAACAACTTTTCCAACAGGTTAAAACCCCCTTTTTGTTGCCCCTCTGGATGTGTCTGGAAGGCCAAGTTTCTTTATATCAGGGGTGTCAAACTGCCGGCCCGCGGGCCAGTTTCATCATACCGGAGCCGCGCCCACCCCATTGCTGGCAACGGCGAAAAAGCTCCAATACGTTGCGCGATGTCAGTTTGACATGTCTGCTTTATATCAAAGAGATCTGAAAGACCAGTGTGGCTGTTTTAAGTCCACCCACAAAAGTGACAACCAAAGACAACTCCATGGCAAGCCCATTACAGATATTCACAACATGAAACGTTTGTGCCCCAACTAAGATGCTCCCCTCTAACTCCAGGATAGCAGGGCCCATTCAACCACCATGTAACCACTACAACTCCCATCACCCACATCTTTAGACACTTTTTCCAAGAGGCTTCCCATCCCAAGTGGAACAACTACACTTCCCATCAACCCCAAAGGGAAGGCTCTCTCCCTTCAACCCAGCTGCTCTCAGCGGGGCAAGGACTACAACTCCCATCACCCACATCCTTGGGCACTTTTCCCAAGAGGCTTCCCTTCCCAGGTGGACCAACCACCCCTCCCATCATCCCCAAAGGGCAGGTTCTCCCTTTCAACCCCCTCAGCCCGGCTGCTCCCATCTGGGCAAGGACTACAATTCCCATCACCCATATCCTTGGGAACTTTGCACAAGAGGTTTTCCCTCTCAGGTGGACTAACCACCCCTCCCATCATCCCCAGAGGGCAGGCTCTCCCCTTCAATCCCCTCAGCCCGGCTGCTCCCGTCTGGGCAAAGACTACAATTCCCATCACCCACATCCTTGGGCACTTTCCACAAGAGACTTCNCCTCTCAGGTGGACTAACCACCCCTCCCATCATCCCCAGAGGGCAGGCTCTCCCCTTCAACCCCCTCAGCCAGGTTCCCAGCTGGGCGAGGACTACAACTCCCATCACCCAGCAGAGGGAGGTTTTGTGAGGGGAGGGAGGGGCCTCATTTTGCCCCGCCCACTAGGAGCTGCCAAGCCGAGGGGGAAGTCTGGGGCAGTGCAAAATAAGGGAGGGGCTTCCCCCTCCAGGACCCCCATCCTCGGAGCCCCTCCCCCCACTGCGCCCCCCCTTCCAACCCGGCGGGCGGGGGGAGGGTGGTAGCCCCGCCCCCTCCTCCCTCCCACCTCTCAATGACGGAGGCCAGCAGCTGCGGCAGCTCGCGCATCTCGAAGGCCGAGTAGGAGGCCGACAGAAGCGGCCGCACCGCCACCTCCCAGCCGGGCTCCCGCTCCGAAGACCCGGGACCGCCGCCACCGCCGCCCCCCGACGCCGCCATCTTGCCGCCGCCTCTCCTCAGTTCTGCTTCCAGTAGCGTTAGAGTTGCTGAGGCGAAGACACCAGAGACCGGGGGAAAGCTTCCGGGTCAGAGAGGAAGTGACGTCGACTGAGTGCTTCTTCCGGATGAAACCCCGCCCCCAAATGGCACCGGTCTGTTCCCTGAGGGAAGGGGAAAAAAACGGCCCTAAAGAATAAATTGGACGTTTCTGTCGTTATTATCAAGCAGCATCCAGAGAAAAATTGGCGGTCTTCTGAGACTTCAAAGGGGGACCACAGGTTCTCTTCACAGAAGCGCGGCAGACTTCCGGGACGGACGGCTAGAGCGTCCCACTGCTCTTTCCGGCCGTTCTTCCGCCCCCGCGCGGAGAGGAAACCAAAGGAACGCAGGGAGCGCAGTATCAGTTTCCTTTCCCGGCCAGGCGCGGAAGGGCGCTTGCGCAGAAAGATGACTCAGCGACTTTCTCTTGAGGGCGCATCTGCGCGTGCGCTCTCTAGGGTAGGGGTAGGCAACCTTGGCTTTTATGACTCATGGACTTCAACTCCCAGAATTCCTGAGCCAGCTATGCTGGCTCAGGAATTCTGGGAGTTGAAGTCCATGAGTCATAAAAGAACCAAGGTTGCCTACCCCTGCCAAAGGCGGATTTCAAAAGTGGATTTTTAAAAAGTCTGATCACCTTTGGCTGTATTTTGAAATTATCCAACGCAGGAACGTATTAATATTTTCTGGACATGACTGGCTTAAAATTCAAGTAAATCTCTGGCCCAAAGAGTTTGCAATCTAAAATCTTTTTGTTATTTTGTATAGTTTTAATTTTTTTTAAATTTAATAAAAGTTGATGAAAATAACGGTGCTCCTTGGGCGAGGGTTGCAAGCCTGCCAGTTACACACACCTCCAGGGAGCCAAAAGAAGCAAATTCACTGTTATTTTTTTTATTTCTGCTGTGCCTGATCTTACAGGAGGAAAGCTCGGACTTCACACATTTTTTTCCGAAAGAAAACGCAAATTTCTACCCTGCAAACTCCAGATTCAGACTCTGCCCACTGTGACCCAAAATCCCCTTCAGAATAAATATAAATAAACCGACCGGTGGGGTGACTCTTAGCAAGCCACTCGCTTGGCATCAGGAGAAAAGAAAACACATTCAGGAAGATGCTTCATTTAGAACGTAACCCCTGCTTTTTTTTTAAAAGAGCTTCAAGTACTCCTAAAACTCAAATCTGGACTAACAAAAAAAAAATGCAATATAAATTAGGAATTATAAGACGGGGGGATCTTAGAACAAAGGAGCCAATTAAGAAAGGGAAGTTTTAAAATCCAGTGTAGGGAAAAGACAGACTGTCTCTCTTTAAATTCCTTGCTAGGGATGCTAAAGATTGAACAGGCTCACATCTCCCCAGTTTATATCCATTTTTCCAAATTCATCTTCTGCATTTCCAAGCTTGATTTTTCACACATTCTCCAAGAGTGTTGTCTCCCTCCCCCCCCCAACCCCCACCCCCAGCCACTTTCTTCCGCTGAAAATCCGAGAGGGGAAGAGGACAGAAAGAGTATATAGAGAAATCTGGCTGATTCTTTGAATCAGCTAAAATTTCAGGAGGGAAATGCAGACGGGCCTGTTTCATCACGGCTTCAGGAGTCCAAAACGGTCATTGTAGAAAGTCAACAGCAAAGCAGTTCCCCAGCGCAGGCGTCAAAGGACGGGGATAACATATTCAAAGCAGCTTATTTCACAGAATCTTCCCATTTTCTGGGGTTTCTCATTTTCCGCAGTGAACGGAGACGGGTTTGGGGGCAACAGGCAGCGCGATTCCACGGCTGCAACCTTCCGGGATCCCCTCGCGAGGGCTCGGCCGTCCACCCTCCAGGGTGGGGTCTGTGTGAATCGCTCCTGCTACCGCCAGGCACGGTTCAGCAGCTTCACCTGAGCCAACCTCTTGGTGATCATGGTGGCAAAGATCAGCCCAAAAAGCACGCTGCTAATCAAGACGTAGTCGTAATCGTCTTTGAGGACGTCGAACTGTTTGGAAGGATAAACTCTGGTCTGGTAGATGTCTAACCCGTAAGCCACCACCTGAAGGAGAGAAAAATAAATAAATAGAGGGTTGCAAACTGTAATGTAAAAGAAAAATATTTTACAGGGTGATGTACCATTGGTATTTAGCACCAGATAAGTTATCAACAACGTATAAAGGCATTTAATAACAACAACAACAACAACAATAATAATAATAATAAAGTTGGAAGGGACCTTGGAGGTCATCTAGTTCAACCCCCTGCTCAGGCAGGAAACCCTATACCATTTCAGACAAATGGCTGTCCAGTCTCTTCTTAAAAATTTCCAGTGTTGGAGCATTCAGAACTTCTGGAGACAGGTTGTTCCACTAGTTAATTGTTCTCACTGTCAGGAAGTTTCTCCTTAGTTCTAGGTTGCTTCTCTCCTTGACGAGTTTCATTTCAAATGAATGTTGGAAATGTAAATGTAAAGAGGGGGCTTTTTACCATTTACGGTGGACGTGTGACAAAGCAAGGAAATATTGGAGCAGGATGCATACGTTAATACAGAGAATTCTTAAAATGGATATAGAAAGAAAACCAGAGAATTTTCTCTTGGGGCTAATGGACAAAGACCTGGTAAAAAAATATATGGAACCTGGATGTTGTTTATGTTGACAGCAGCAAGAGGACTCTACGCTCAGAAATGGAGGACCACGTCGATTCCCACAAGGGAGGAATAGCTGCAAAAAACCCGATGGGAGCTGGCAGAGATGGCTAAACTGACTGTACTGGTTAAAGAAAAGAATACAAATACTTTTATTGCCACGTGGAAACTGCTTCTAGGTTTTGTGCTTGAGGTGGAAAAAAGTGAAATTCTGAATTTGGGCTTTGCCAATTAGATAGATTTGATGTTATTGAAATGGCTAGTTTATATTATTTGGTAAAAAATAAAAAAAATGAGTTTTGATGTTGATATTCTATTTTACTGCACCAAAGAAAGTCAATGCCTTTTCTCCCCCTCTTTTCTTCCTTCCTTCCCTCACTGTTCTATTCCCTTTTCCCTTCCCTATCTTTCCCGCTATTTATTTTCATTGTATTGTATATTATAAACTGATAAAAACTTATATGTGGAAAAAAGAGGGTTGAAAACAGTAGAGTCTTGCACGCAAATACACGTAGTCCTCGACTTATGGCCTCAACTCAGCCCAAAATTTCTGTTGCTAAACAAGAGACATTGGTTAAGTGAATTTTGCCCCATTTTATGACATTTCCTGACACGGCTGTTAAGTGAATCACTGCAGTCATTCAGTGAGTCACATGGCTGTGAAGTGAACCTGGCTTCCCCATGGAGTGTGCTTGTCAGAACGTGACCCCCGCCCAGGACACCGCAACCGTCATAGGTTCATGCCAGTTGCCAAGCTTCTCAATTCTAATCACATGCCCACTGGGGATGCTGTAATGGTCGTGTGAAAAATGGTGATAAATTTCATTTTTCAGTGCTGTTGTAACTTTGAACGGTCACTAAAGAAACTTGTTAAGTCGAGAACTGCCTGTATCAGGAGACAGACAAGCATTAGATGGCAGGGCTCTTCCCCAAAATGTATTAATTTAACCATACCCCTCTTGAGATCCCTTGAGGAGAGTCTCAAGATAAAACCTTCTTGTTGTTATCCCTGCTATTTTTACTCAGGGGAAGACTGTCCCTGAACATGGAGGTTCCATAAGGCTATTGAGGCTGCAGTTACTGATGTCCCTTCTTTTCTTCCAAAAATTTCAGCAGAAAACCTGGGCCAGGACAAGAGTTTACAGCAGAGGCCCCCAACCTTTTGGGCACCAGGGACCGGTTCCGTGGAGAGAGTTTTTTCCACGGACCGGAAGGGGTGTGGTTTCATGTACTGCCTGCATCCCGTGGATGGGGCTTTGCTTATTTGTGCGGACCGGTTGCTGGCGTGCCGCGGACCGGTACCGGTCCATGGACCGGGAGTTGGGGACCCCTGGTTTACAGCATTTCTCAACCTTGACAACTTTAAGAGGAGCGGACTTCAATTCCCAGAAATCCCCAGCCACCCAGAGAATTCTGGGAGTTGAAGTCCACCTCTCTGAAAGTTGCAAAAAACATTGCAACTCACCAGGCAAGTGGACTCCAGGCCCGATGGGGCCGTGTAAATGCCCTTCATTCGGGAGATGGTTTGATTGTAGTTGATGAACCGCTCGGCGTGGATTTGCACATCCGGAGAGTAAGGGATCAGGTTTTCTTCCCTGACATGAGCAGAAAAATAACCTCGGTTCCACCTCTGTCTTTTAGCGTTTGCTTGGAATGCTAATCCTCCTTCTGCTATTTCTCTGCTGCTCCTTGCAGTTTGTAATTCTTCTTATTCGGCCTTACAAAATCCTGGCCAGAGCGGTCAATCCAGGCCAGCCAAACCCATCTCCCCCCACCCCGCGGTTCGGCTGGATCCGACCCACTTCGGTTGCTAGCAGCCTCACCTGAACACAGGGCAAGTTAAAACCGCTTGGAAGGTCCTGGCTGAAATTTGAGACAGCCCCAAACCACCCCACATCAGCTTGCCCTATCTGCAAAGTCCTAATTGCCCACCCCCACCCCCCAGGGCTTGGCACTGGATGGATCTCCTCCTCCCCTCAAATTCCTCACCTCGTTTGCTCCGTGGGGACCTCTGGACGCCGTGGATCCAGCAAAGCCTTGGGGAGGGACAAAATGGACCCCGAGGGAAGACCGACTGTGCCCAAGAGAAAAACAGAGATGTTTTGAAAGAGGGAAGGGAAGTTTTTATCGTTGCAATAGATTCATCAGTGTTCAGTTAGGGGGGACAATTCCTTTTTTTTTCTCTTTCACATTTTTTAAAATGTTCTTTCCAGTTTTGGCTTGCCTCTGTTTTTTTTCTTTTAGATTTTGTATCTTAATCTTCTGCATAAAATTTAAAAAAAAATGAGGAACGTAACAGAGTGGGAAGGGACCTCGGAGGTCTTCTAGTCCAACCCCCTGCTCAAGCGGGAGACCCTTAGGCGACTTCAGACAAAGGGTTCCCCAATCAGGAGAAATCCCCGTGCTCCTTTCCCTGACAAAAAGAAGGCAGAGGCGTGAACTCGCCCAGGGACAGCGAGTGGCTGTTCAGAAAAAGATGCCAGCCTCGCACACGGCACCCGAGTCCCAATTTGGCATCCCAAGAGACCGCACGCCTGCCTCATCTAGTCTTCCCACGTCAAGCTCCAGAGCAGGGGTCCCTGACCTTTTCCAGGTTGATGGCCGGGAGGAAGGGGAGAGTTTTGTGGGAGGGGCAGGCGCACACGCACGAGTACCCATTGCTTGCGCGAGTGGGGCCGAGAGCACCTGTGACGCTCGCAATGAATGGAGCCGCAAGCGCCTGCGACGCTTGGGGGAGTGGGCCAGTAAGCACCCACAATGCTCTCACGAGTGGGACCCCGAGCAGCTGCAAGCGCCTGTGACCCTCACATCAGTGGGGCCCCGAGCAGCTGCAAGTGCCTGTGACCCTCGCATGTGTGGGGCCCCGAGCAGCTGCTCCTGTGACCTACACCAGAGTGGGTCTCCACGCGTGCATGCGTGCACACCAGCCAGCCATTCACACGGCCCGGTTGTGAACAGGCCCCGGACCGGTAGTGGGTCGCGGCCCACCAACTGAGGACCCCTGCTCTAGAGGCCTCAATCTGCTCTCTCCCCCCCCCGGCCTCCCCCCTTGAAGAGGATCCCGCAGATGAACCAGCCGAGCTCCTTGGCCAGACTGCCTGGGCAGGGGGTGGGGGTGGGGGTGGAAGGCAGACCGCCCGGCCTCCCTCCCTCGGCCCACTTCCTTAACTCAGCAGATGGCGACTGGTGACGCCCCGTTCGGTGAGGGTGGCTTCCATGGCGCTGATGGCGGAGGGGAAGATGTAGGACTGCTGCAGCACCTGGGGGGAGTAGGGCCGGTCCAGCGAGCTGAAGGCCGTGGCGTTGTACTGCGTGGTGCCCTCGTACAGCTCCAGCACCGTGAACTCGTTCCGGCGGGCCTTGGCGTTCCAGTACAGGTACTGTGGAGAGGAGGAGGGTTAGGGTCTCTCGTTGGACCCTCTTAACCACAGAGCCACGTTCCTCTGGTCTCTCTTTCCTGCCGCTCTGGGAGGGGCAAAGTCTTACCACCACCCAGTTCTCCGAATGGACAATGTGCACCGGCCCCTCGGCCTTCTTCTGCACCGAGGAGTGGATGATCCGGCCGGTGACGCCGTCAATCAGGTAGATTCCAATGAAGGAGCGCTCCGGGTGGGTGTCCGTGCTCTCGGTCACGACGGCCAGCAGGTTGGGGTTCAGCGACTGCGAGGGGGGGGAATACAAAACCCCCAGGCTTCCTTATGCAAAAGGCTCAGAGGCCCTGCACAGAGTGGGGGAGGGAAGGAGGAGGAGGAGAAGGAGAAGGGGAGGACGAAGAGGAGAGGTGGAGGAGGAGAGAAGAGGAGAAGGAGAGGAGAAGAGGAAAGAAGGAGATAGGAAAGGAGGAGAGAAGGAGGAGAAGGGGAAAAGGAGAAGGAGGAGAGAAGGAGAAGGAGGAGGAGAGAAGAAGAGGAGAGGAGAGAGGAAAGGAGGAGAGGAGGAGGAGGGGAGGAGGAAAAGGAGGAGAGAAGAGGAGAGAAGAGGAGGAGAGGAGAGAAGGAGATAAGAAAGGAGAAGGAGGAGAGGAGGAGGAGAAGGGGAAAGAGGAAAGGAGGAGGGGAAAAGGAGGAGAGAAGGAGAGGAGAAGAGCGGAGATAGGAAAGGAGGAGGAGAGAAGAAGAAGGGGAAAGAGAAAAGGAGGAGGGGAGGAGGAGAGGAGGAGAGAAGGAGATAGGAAAGGAGGAGGAGAGAAGGAGGAGGGGGCGAGAAGAGAGATGGAGATAGGAAAGGAGGAGGAGGAGAGGAGGAGGAGAAGGGGAAAGAGGAAAGGAGGAGAGGAGGAGAAGGAGAGAAGGGAAAAGGAAAGGAGGAGGAAAGGAGGAGGAGGAGAGAAGGAGGGGAAGGGGAAAGAGAAGAAGGAGAAGGAGGAGAAAAGAGCTGGCTTTCTCCCCCTCACCTTGTACAGGACACTGCGGTCGCCCATCACCCGGCCTTGAGAGTGGACGTGTTCGTTGGCCCGCTTCCCTTTCACCGTCACGATGCGCTGCAGGTCAGGAGGGATGGTGACGTCCCAGGTCTCCTCCGTGGTCAGATCCTGGAGGGTGGGGGGGCGGGTGGGGGGAAGAGCCAGGGTGGTCAAAGGCTGGTCCAGGACTTTCCACTCTCCCCCCCCTAACTCTCCCAAGGGCTCAGGCTGAAAGGAGACGGGCCCAGAAAGGCCGGCAGTGACCCCCACCAACTTAGGGGAAGCAATTAAACGGCCCCTAGATATTGATATATATTAAATGCTTATTCCTCTCTCACGAACCGACATATTTCAAAATAGAACCTGCAACCTAACGCCTTGAATTCCTCATACTTTGCAATATCGACTACATGTATTTCCATTATACATGCACAACAGTATTAAGGGCTCCATCTTTACTACTGTTATCCGCGTACTCTACCCCACATGCCAGCCAACTAGCTAAAATAAATAAATGTATTCTATGCCACATGCTAGCTAACTAGCATAAATAGACGGACGGACAGATGGATGCTTGAAAGTCCAGTCAAAACAAAGCAGCCAGTCATCAAAGAAAATTTCCCTTCATTTGAAAAATAAAAAAACTTACTGGCACACAAGACATTTATAAGCGAAGGAGAACAGGACAAGAACATCCTGCTGATGACGTTACCTAGTTTGGTTAACGAAACGTTCAGGAATTCTATGGAAACAAGCTTGGAGAACAAACACAGCCAAAATCTAATACCGGAGCTACAAGTGTTTTCTATTATTTCAAAAATCTTACTGCCCCCCCTTCCAATTCACTGACACACTCCCTCTTTCTCTCTTTCTCTCTCTCCTTTCTCTCCTCTCCTCTCTCTCCTCATTCTCTCCTCTCCTCTCATTCTCTCTCTCTCTCTCTCCTCTCCTCTCTCTCCTCATTCTCTCTCTCTCCTATCTCTCCTCATTCTCTCCTCTCCTCTCTTTCTCTCTCTCTCTCCTCATTCTCTCTCTCTCTCCTCTCCTATCTCTCCTCATTCTCTCCTCTCCTCTCCTCTCTTTCATTCTCTCTCTCTCTCTCTCTCCTCTCCTATCTCTCCTCATTCTCTCCTCTCCTCTCTCTCTCTCTCTCTCTCCTCTCCTCTCTCCTCATTCTCTCCTCTCCTCTCCTCTCTCTCATTCTCTCTCTCTCTCTCTCCTCTCCTATCTCTCCTCATTCTCTCCTCTCTCTCTCTCTCTCTCACACACACACACACACACACCGCTTAGGAATCCAGGAGCCATACCCTTCCCAGCCTCCGTCCCATCAGCTTCCCCCGCTGGGCATCTGCCAGGTAGAAGGTGACGGAGGGGGCCGTGTCTTCCAGCTGCCGCAGGACGTTCTTGCTTGCTGGGAAGATGGTCACCTGCCGGAGGGAGGGAAGGGGAAGTGAACAGGCAAGGCCTTTCCAGCGGATTCCGGCAGGCAGGAAGTCCACCCACCCACCCACCCCGCCTGCCCATCTCCTCCCTCCCTCCCTCCCCCTCCAAGGCGGCACCTTGTACTGGTCATCAATCAGAAGCAGCACTTTGGCGTAATCCTGGTCCATGATGGGAAGCAGGACGGACTGGAGGATGGGGCGGCTCAGCGCCGGAGGGGCCACCTGGCTCCACTTGCCGAAGATGGGGTTGAAGACGTAGAGCTTGCTGAGGCCCGAGTCCTGAGAGGCAGCAGGCGGGGGGGGGGGTTCAGTGGGGGGGCTGTACCCCTCTCTCAACTTACAGCCAGTGCTTTACAGTCCCGTCTGAGGGGTTTACAGGGTCCCCCAATGACCTGGGTCCCCATTTCGCCGACCTCGGAAGGACGGAAGGCTGAGTTGACTTGAGCTGGTCAGGATCGAACTGCCAAACTGCTGGCAGCCGGCAGTCAGGCGAATCAGCCTGCAGTACTGCCTTCTAACCACTGCACTATCCATCCTTCCTTCCTTCCTTCCTTCCTTCCCTCCTTCCTTTCCAATAGCACTTAGACTTATATACCGCTTCACAGTGCTTTACAGCCCTCTCTGAGCAATTTACAGGGTCAGCCTGTTGCCCCCCAACAACCTGGGTCATTTCGCCGACCTCGGAAGGACAGAAGGCTGAGTCAACCTTGAGCTGGTCAGGATCGAACTGCCGAACTGCAGGCAGAATTAGCCTGCAGTACTGCATTCTAACCACTGCGCCACTACGGCTCTTACCAATATCTTTTGTGGCCACAGGCCCCCAAGACTTAAGATTTAAATCATATTTTTTTCAAGCTTTTGTGGACCCCTTGTGACAACATCATGGCCCCCCCAGGGGTCTCTGGACCTGAGGTGGATCAAAGAAGGCTGCTCCCCCTTCAGTCCTCCCCAAGGACCGGCGGCTTTCTCTCTCTCCCCCTCTCCTCCGGAGAGAAGGCAGGAGGGTCTCACGAGGGGCGGCACCCACCTTGTCCTTGACCAACAGGGTGCATTGTGGGGGGTGGGGAAAATGCGCCGTCGTCCTTTGGACCATCAGCTTGAAGGAAGAGCCGGGACGCACGTCCTGGAGGAACTGCTTCCATAGGATCGTCCCCGAGCTGCTCTCTATTCCGAAGAGCTGGAAAAGGAAGAGGGAAAAAATCTTCAAATGGAGCTGCCCTTGGGAGGCACTCTGGGTATTTAAAAGCTAGGAGGAGGAGGAGGAGGAGGAGGAGGAGGAGGAAAGGAGGGGAGAAAAGGAGGGGAGGGGGAGGAGGAGGAGAGGAAGAAGCAGGAGGAGGGGGAGGAGGAGGAGAAAAGAGAGCTGCCTGGGAACCATGAAGCCCCCCCTGGCGCTGGACCAGTCCATCCTGCCTGATGGGTTGAAGCTTTCCTCTCTTGGGAACGGGGCGTGTGAGGCCGTTTCGCCACAAAGCGAAGACTTTGTAAATCCATCGATTTACGCTCTCTCTCACCATCTACGTGTGGAATGGCACCTCCACCCGCAGGAGCATTCTACCAGGTTCTGAAGACAAGAGGGGCCACCCTGCTGGTGGGGCCCTTCCACGACCCGTCAAGCCGCGAAGCCTCCTGTCTTTAGGACTGTTGCGTGCTTCTAACTTGCCAAGAGTGAGGGAAGGGGAAAGGGGAACCCATTTGAATCCACAGGGGCTCCTTATCACCGTGAGAGCCGAAGAGTTGTCTTGGCCAGCTAAAGCAGGGGTCTTAAAACTTTGGAGTTCATGTCTCCAGTAGTCGCTTGGCCCAGGCAGCCCTCCCTCCCTCACCTTTCCCGAGGCCGTGACGACCACGATCATCTTCTGAAGGTTGAATTCGTCCCGGGCTAAATTGTCAATGTTGATCTCGTTCTTCGTCTGGCTCCGGGGTTTCCGGGCGTCGTAGAACATCTTCCAGAGATGAGCGGTCCAGGCGTGGAGCAGGATGAGCTGAGAGGACAGGCGCTTGAAGAACATGCCCAGCAGGCCATCTGGGGGGGGGGGAAGGGGGGGAAAAGCAGCCACAGAGAACCACAATGAAGGAAAGGGCTCTGAGCAAAATAATCCCTCTCTGCTGGTCCCCAGGGGGGAAAAAAAGCTTTGACAAAATTTAAGCTCAGCCCTAAAAGGTGTTTTGCGGGAAGACCTGGAAAGAAGGAAGGAAGGAAGGAAGGAAGGAAGGAAGGAAGGAAGGAAGGAAGGAAGGAAGGAAGGAAGGAAGGAAGAAAGAAAGAAAGAAAGAAAGAAAGAAAGAAAGAAAGAAAGAAAGAAAGAAAGAAAGAAAGAAAGAAAGAAAGAAAGAAAGAAAGAAAGAAAATCTCGCCATAGGTGAGCCGGAAGATGTATTGCCAGGCTTCTGGGCACAGGTATCAACACACACACCCCCGTGAGACCCCGTTCCAAAATCAGAAGCCGCCCCCAGACAGCAGGCTGCCTCCCCCTCTCTCGCACACACAGAAACACAACTCGAGCAAAACGGGACATTGAACATTCGGGGTTACCTTGAATGGCTGATATCCAAGGCAGCAAAAAAAGGAAACACAAACCAGGGAACAATTCAACGTTTAGTCTTTGGAGGGGTGGAAAAACAAACAAACAAATCTGAACACAGCAGCACCCATCACACACACACGGGTAAAACCAGATCTGGGGGTTCTTTTCTCCCAGGGTGTCCTTGTGTCTCCTGAACAAACAGGGGCACAACCCAGGTCCAGTCTCAATGGGCAGAAGAGACTTTGGAGCTTCTTTAGGAAAACATGAATACGAGGCTTACTTTGCAAGTGAGTATTGGGCAAAATAATTCTCTCTTCCCCCCCCCCCCATCACTCCTCACCGGCTTTCTTCCCGAACTCGCCCTCCAGTTCCGCCTGGGCCCCCGTCAAGGGCAGATCCACCATCTCCAGGCTAACCACCTCGGCCAGAGATTCTTCCCGGCTCCACCAAATTTTTCCTGTCCAGAGTGAGATCAGGTGAGAGAGAGAGAAAAAGTTCTTTTCTTCCGGCCATTGACGGACTCTCCCCGTGCCCAGCAACCGAGGAGGAAGAACGGCTGCGAAGCTTCTGGTCCAGCTTCGGCCCAAGAAGGAGGAGCCAGGAAGGGAGGCGCACAACTCTGCCCTTGGGGGGGGGGGGTACCTGGCTGTTGCAGGAAGAGGAGGAGGTGGTCCCCTGTTTGCACCAAGGCACGGTAGCCCACCGAGTCGTCCTTCTTCAAGAAGACCTGAATGAAGAGCTGCGGAGGGAACATGTGGATGAGAGATAGAAGAGGGCATTCTCAAAGCAGAATCCTTGGCAAGGATGGAGGTTGTCCATCTCCCAGGAGAGGGTTGTCCCAAAGGGGCTTTTTTCAGGAGGCAACTGGACTTTCCTGTTTTTCTTCGAAGACCTTTCCCTTCTCATCCAAGGAGCTTCTTCAGCTCTGACCGGATGGTGGGGAGTGGAAAGATTTATCCTCCTTGTAGACAGCTGGTCATTTGCATTCTTTCAGAGGGTCGTTGAGGCCACCTGGAGGTGTATCTGTGTCCTCAGGGTCACCTGGGTGGTGAAAATGGGTGTGGATCAATCTTCCTTTCAGAAGTTCCAAGAAGGCTCCACACCCATTTGCACTACTCAGGTGACCCTGAGGACACAGATAAACCTCCAAGTGGCCTCAACGACCCACTAAAAGAAGGCAAATGACCGGTTGTCTGCAAGGAGCATAAATCCTTCCGTTCCCCACTATCCGGTCAGAGCTGAAGAAGCTTCTTGGGTGAGAAGGGAAACGTCTTCAAAGGGAAAACAAGAAAGTCCAGTTGCCTCCTGACAAAAAGCCTTTTTGGGACTTGGCAAGGGATGTGTCAAGGTTCCCACTAATGAAACACTTCAAAGAACTTCCAGGAATTGTTTATCCTAAAAAGTCTTTATTCATGTAACACAGTGTTTCTCAACCTTGACAATTTTAAGGCATGTGGACTTCAACTCCCAGAATTCCACAGCCAGCATCGCTGGCTGTGGAATTCTGGGAGTTGAAGTCCACATGCCTTAAAATTGTCAAGGTTGAGAAACACTGATGTAACAGAATGTCGGGCACACCGTGAATGGGATGCCAAGATCTGACATCTCCTCCCCTGAGCAGTTATTTTGCTAGCATTTTCCCTCCCTTATTTTGCTGCCATAAATCAGGTTCTCCAATCAGCCCCAAGTGTTCTGCCCTATTCCTTATCTTAATTACTCCCTACACATTCTTTCTCCTCCCCTCCCAGCATCATCATCTAAGTTAACTCTAAAAATACCAGACAGCTCTGCATATTTTGTCAAAGCAAGAATTAGCAGCGTTGACAGGATGCTTGATTCAAATAATAATAATAATAATAATAATAATAATAATAATAATAATAATAATAATAATAATAATAATAATTACTATTATTACTATTACTATTATTATTATTATTATTATTATTATTATTATTATTATTATTTATATACCGCCCTATCTCCCTCACGGGACTCAGGGCGGTGAACAGGCAATAATAAAAATCACAATAAATATTAAATAAAAAGCCTGCTCTAAAATACCCCATATAAAAACCCCTACCAAAACACAATCAGAACTACGCCAGGCCGGCCGCATGGAAAAGATGGGTTTTCAAGGCTCGGCGAAAGAGGCGCAGGTCCGAACGCAGCGGGGGCGTTCGGATCCCAAAGCACGTGAGAAACGCCCTCGCTGAGGGACGGCTGCGGGCTGAAGCCCCCTGGGAACAAACCCGGCCAATCCGCAGGACCGTTACCTGCTCAGGCCCGGTGCTGCTTTTCTCCAGAGTGAAGGTGGTGAGGGTGTCCAGGAGTCTCTGTCCGGTTTCAGCCAGGTACAGGTTGACGGTGTAGGACTGGGCGGGGCAAGAGGGGCTTTCCTGCAGGGAGAGAATGAAGGCAGCACAAAGAGCCTTCAGCTTCTTACGAGGAACTTGCAAGGGAGCGAAATTTCACAGCACGCCTCGGATTCAAAGCAAGCACCCGTTTCAGGGGGCCTCAGACTTATCCAGGCAAAGCAGGATCTGGAAGCGTTTCAACATCAGAGGAGGCAACAAGCCACCACTTAACCCCAATTCTGTCAGTTGATTCCAAACTGTGGTTTGAGACCCTGTTTTGGTGGCCTGGTAGGTTCTATCTCAGGGGTCTTCAAACGTGGCCCTTTGAGGACTTGTGGACTTCAACTCCCAGAATTCCTCAGCCAGGTACCCCTCCCTGCCTGCCTGGCTGAGGAATTCTGGGAGTTGAAGTCCACACGTCATCAAAGGGCCAAGTTGGAAGGCCCCTGTCTTAAATCTAACAAACAAAATGGAGGCTGGCTGAGGAATTCTGGGAGTTGAAGTCCACAAGTCATCAAAGGGCCAAGTCTGAAGACCCCTGTTCTATCTCCTGCCCTTTTAACATAGAATCTTCTAGCACAGCCGAGAACTGTGGAGAGACAGGAAATGTTTATCTACGTAGGGTAGACATGTCAAACACAAGTCCTGGGGGACGGATGCGGCCCACGAAGTGGTTTCATGTGGCCCACAAAGCCATCCTGGAAACAGTGACGGAACGGCCCCCTCTGCCTTGGCCCTGGCCCAGGCCAGCCGGGAGCCAATGTACAATTTTGTGGTGGCCATCTATGCTGAAAGGCATTCAGTCTTAGCTCCATAAGCCCCCCCCCGCATGGCCTGAGAGGAACAGTGAGGCTCCTCTAGTGGACCAAGCCTTGGCCCTTGCCCCGGTCCCCCCCCCTTCTGCCAGAGACCCTCAGATCTGTCCCACTCCTGCCCAGGCCCCCACAGGCACCCTTGACGCGAAGGATGTAGAGCTGGCCACGCCCACCCAGTAGGCCACACCCACTCCATCCACGCCCACCCAGTAGGTTGCACCCACCCCGGCCACACCCACCCGGCCCCCTGAGGGCAACCACAATGCCAATACGGCCCTCCATGAAATTGAGTTTGATACCCCTGACGTAGGAGCTTCATTGAAAAAAAAGTTGGGAGCTGGAGATTATTCGGGAGTTTTGTCCATGGAGATGCTCCGTCATCCAGGTCACCGTTATCCCAAAGGTGCTTTTTCAGGAGGCCACTGGACCTTCTTGTTTTTCTTGGAAGACGTTTCGCTTCTCCTCCAAGAAGCTTCTTCAGCTCTGACTGGATGGTGGGGAATGGAAAGGATTTATACTGCTTTGTCTTTTAAACACAACATAGGAGAACAAACCCGCCAGGACGAGAGTCAGCAGTCCATCTGCATTTAAGGGACCCAGGCCACTCTCTTGAAGACAGCAAAGTCCACATTTTGGACAGAGAGGACGGCTGGTTTGAACGAGGGGTCAAAGAGGCCGTCTGGGTCAAAATTGAACGGCCCTCTCTCAACAGAGGGGGAGGGACACAACATCATCTATCTCCAGTCTACAACACAGTCCTTTCAGCAGCTCCATTTGCACCACTCAGGTGACCCTGAGGACACAGATAAGCCTCCAGGTGGCCTCAACGACTCTCTAAAACAGGGGTAGTCAACCTTGGCTCTTTTATGACTGGTGGACTTCAACTCCCAGAATTCCTGAGCCAGCAGGGCTCAGCTTGGAAACCTCTCCCTTTCCCCTCAGCGTGGCTGGCTCAGGAATTCTGGGAGTTGAAGTCCACGAGTCATAAAAGAGCCAAGGTTGCCTACCCCGGCTCTAAAAGGATGCAAATGACCAGCTGTTTGCAAGGAGTATAAATCCTTCCATTCCTCACCATCCAGTCAGAGCTGAAGAAGCTTCTTGGCTGAGAAGCAAAACGTCTTCAAAGAGAAAAAAAAGCAAGTCCAGTCTACAGTCCTTTCAGCAGTTCCAAGAAGGCTCCACACCTATTTGCACTACTCAGGTGATCCGGAAGACACAGATAAACCTCCAAATGGCCTCAACGACTCTCTAAAAGAATGCAAAGGACCGGCTGTCTGCAAGGAGCATAAATCCTTCCATTCCCCACCATCCAGTCAGAGCTGAAGAAGCTTCTTGGAGGAGAAGCGAAACGTCTTCAAAGAAACACAAGAAAGTCCAGTTGCCTCTTGAAAAAAGCACCTTTGGGGACCTTTGCACCCCAAATTCACCAAGGGCCTCCATTCTTAGCCTTCCTGCTGCAACATAGGCATGACAGAGGCCTCCCTTATAGAGCTGTTGTAAAAAAAAAACCAAAAAACCCCCACCCATGTCAAGCAGAGATGTATATTTACCCCTTCGCCCTTGCAGGCGAGGACGGCCACCACAGTCTTCTCACCGGTAGTCGCAAAAGTCGCAAGGCTGGCCTGGACGTTACACAAGGGGGAGAAAGATGGTGAGAGGTCCAATAGGGCATCACGGGTCACTTCCCACAACCCTCCCCGTGTCGGGAATTCTGGGAGTCGAAGTCCACATGTTTTAAAGTTATCGGGGGTCGAGAAACACTGGTGCTAAGAGCACGGAGGCCGCTGGAGTCTCACTCCCTGCCAAGGGTTCCTTGGAGGGGGAAGGAGGGTGGAGGGAGGCCAGCCTCAGGACATCGCGAGCCTCCCTTTCCTCCTCCTCACCTGCGGGAAATTCCGAAGGAGGCTCAAGACGCCGTGCCGATATTGCAGGAGAGCAAAGTGGGTGGGCGACAAACGCAGGAAGAACTGAGGCCGGGGAGCTCTGGCTGGGTTCGGCTGGGAGGACAGGATGCGGGCCTCGGAAGGGTCCGCAAATTCCAGGCCGAGAGACTGCAGGAAGGGGGAAAAAAAGAGAGCAGGTGTAAGGACCCACCCCACTTTACATCTTAAGAAGACAGAACTCTTGGAATATCTCTTCCAGCAGGCATCTTTATTAAGAGAAGATGGTTGCAGGCGTTCTAGACAGGATCTGAGGGCCACCCCTACCATTCAAGGTTTTAAGTGTTCCCAAGCAGCCCTCACCCCACCGTCCTTCCAGCGACAATCCCAGGCGTTACATTTCCACCCCCTTTTCTTCTCAACCGGCAGAAGGGAGACTTCAGAGAGTAGTAGATGAAAGTTGATGGGCCATATTGTTATGGTCAGTCCTCTTGGTGAGAATCCACATTCAGTCCCTTTGAAGTTTTAATGAAGGAAGTGAGAGCCATAAAATCCCTTTGCTTATCCCCCTTCCCCTTCGTAGTATGACAGAATCCAGAGAGGGCAGAAATGGGGTTTTCCATAGTCGGTAACTAGAGATGAAATATAATTGGATTCTGACAGAAGGCCTATCAGCCAAGCAAGCTACACAGGAAGTGAATACCTGGACGCTTAAAACTGTGCTGGCCACATTTGACAGGAACAGCCACCCTACACCCCCAAATTGATTGCTCCATCCCAGAATCCAGGTCCGGCTCCTTGCTCCACACCAGAGATTATACAAGACCTGTGCAAAGGGACTCAGAAGAACTGCCAGTCTGTTTCTGGAGCCCTCACCTGCAGTGGAACCTCCTTCATCTCCTCCTCTGCCTCCAGAGACAACGTGTAAAGGGACTGGGTGGCTGGGTTCACACACACGAGTGTGGCTTTTTCCACCATGTTGCAAGTCCCAACCAGATTCCTCAGCCAGGGAGCTGCCACCCTGATCTACGGGAAGCAAAGAGATGCACTCATTCCTTATCCCAGCCCTCCAACGCCAGCTGGAATGAATCTTGGGCCAGCAAAGCCAAATCCACATGGGAGAAAATTAGCTGCTCGCTCAAAAGGCGCACAGGCGCACCCAAAACATTGACGTTGTGGTAGTTTTACCCTAAGAGAAAACAATTTTTGTGAGATTATCCGCCTCCCCTTCTCTCTCTTTCCCCCAGCCAGCCTCGGAAAGGAAATGTCACCGAAAGTCAAAATTCCGGCTTCACCTGTCTCGTCATTTCACCATCCTCGATGCTGAACGTCAGGATGCTGAGGTGGCTTTGCGGAGAAATCCCGACAACGTGCACCACGCCTGTTCCATGGGAATATACCAACTGATACTGGACAGTCTCGCTGATAAGGAAAAGCAGGGGTGAATTAGCCTAGCCAGGATTGTCAGTTGTAAGCCATCTTTCTCAGAGGTGCTGAACTCCTGAAATTTCTGGGCCAAAACGAAATCATTCTTAAGGATTGAAATAAAATACAGAGAACCAGAGACGACAATTGTTTTCAATCAATATTTCAGGCAGTCCTCGTTTAGTGACCGCAATTGGGACTAGTCATTCAGTTGTCACTAACTGAAACAGTAACTGTCTTAACTCAGTTAAGTTCCTTTGCCTTAACACAGGGCTCCCCAACCTTGGCCACTTTATGACTTGTGGACTTCAACTCCCAGAATTCCTCAGCCAGCCATGCTGGCTGAGGAATTCTGGGAGTTTAAGTCCACAAGTCATAAAGTGGCCAAGGTTGGGGGACCCCTGCCTTAACAGACCCGCAATGGTTATAAATGTTTGTAAAGTTTTAAAGTTTCTTCTCCATTGCTGTTGTAAGCTGTGAACGGTTGCTACATGAGGCAGTTGCTAAACGAGGACAATCTATTGCCTGTTGCTAAGAAAAACTAAGCCGAAGAATATATTTAGAATAGAATATATATTTATATCTATATATTTAGATAAATATCTATATAGTTAGAATAGAATAAGAATAGAATGCAGAATGGAATGGAATGGAATAGAATGCAGAAGAATAGAGTAGAGTAGAGTAGAGTAGAGTAGAGTAGAGTAGAGTAGAGTAGAGTAGAGTAGAACAGAATAGAAAAGAATAGAATAGGAGCTGGGTTTTTTTTTCTGGTTTACAAAAATGAGTAGGGTTGGGGGGTTAAGAGGCTGTTTCTTAAGAGTCACCAAATCGACCCACCTTTCCGGCAAATGTTCCAGCCATTTCTGGTAACCGTTGGAGAGATAATACAGGAGGATGGAACTTTTCTTCAAAATGGCCACATACTTCACGGCGTCTTGGAGTCCCACCAAACTAGCCATCTGAAAGCTGAGTTGAGTTGAAAGAATTTAATTTTAAAAGATGTGTTTCTTTACTCATTATTTAAATTACTCCTTCTAAAAAGACTCACCTGCCAGCATCCATCAAAACCTCCCAATTCAGGCCACCGATGTTTGTCTCCCAAGAGCGCAGGAGGCGACCCCCATTGGAAACCGTGATGGCATCTGGAATAGAAATAAGAATAGAATAGAATAGAATAGAATATGGAATGGAATGGAATAGAATAGGAAATAGAATAGAATAGAATAGAAGATGGAATGGAATGGAATAGAATGAAGAGAGATTGGAATGAAATTGAAAATAGAATAGAATAGAATAGGAATAGAAGAGAATATGGAAAGAAAAGACAGATTATAGAATAGAATAGAGCAGAGCAGAACAAAACAACTTTGTCACTTTAAATATACACTAATCAGCATACATTAAAATTAAATTTTGTTGCATACAGCTCTCAAAGGGGCATCACCTCCAATAAATGCTACATAAATATGACAAAAATAAATACAGAATTATGCATATACCCACAGACCCACATATATTCTATAACACAGAAAACAATACAGTCTAGTTCAGATGTACATGGCAACAAAAACACATCTGCGAGTTTACCAGACAGACGGCGCAATAGGGAACAAAGTGGTTACAGAATCTGGTGGTCCTGCTATAAATACTCGGAAACCTCCTCCCGGAGGGGAGCAACAGGAACAGGCCGTGAAGTGGGGGTATGGGGTCTCTAACTATGCTCGGAGCTCTAAGCACACAGGAGCGCTTGTAAGCAGCGTCCTGAATAACGGAAGCGAGCTTCCTATAATCTTCTCGGCTGTCCTCACCACTCTCTGTGAGGACCTTTTATCTGAGGCTCTGCTGCCACCAGACCCAACAGTGATGCAGTTTGTGAAAATGCTCCCAATCCTGCCTGTGTAAAAAGTGGCCAGGACAGGAGGAGGAAGAGATAGAGAAAACAGGCACAGAAAATTCAACTCTGCAACAGGCCACGTCAAACCTTTCGCCCTCCGGATTTTCCAAAGGCTACATTGGTCTTTCAGAGATATTTTTCAACTTGTAGGCTAAACCCCCAAACATCGAGAAACAACACTACAACCATTCATTTAGTGACCTTTTCGAAGTTACAACGGCACTGAAAAAAGGGACTTATGACAGTTTTTCACTTACAACCATTGCAGCGTCCCCCAATGGTCGCCTGATTAAAATTCAGACGCTTGGCAACTGGCTTGTACTTATGACAGTTGCAGTGTCCCGTGTGTGTGTGTGTGTGTGTGGGTGTCACGTGATCCGCTTTTACGACCTTCTGACAAACAAAGTCAACCTGGGAATCCAGATTTGCTTAGCAGCTGTCTCGCTTAGCCACAGAAAATTCTGGCTCAGTTATGGTGGATTCCTTGTGCTGCCCACATGCAGGAAGAGTGTGAGCAAATGAGAAATGGCTACCAGGACGCCGTCCCCTTCCTCACCTTGGCCGTGGATCAGCATGGCATCCACTGCCCCTTCGGGAGTCCCCTTGTCCACATGTCGCCACACTGGGAGGGAAAAAAAAGAAGAAATCAGACAAACCTTTGTAAAAGGCCCTGCACCCACTCCCGAGGCAGAGGTCTTTCCCATTTGGGGGAACCCCTGATCCTCTGCAGAGGCCCTTTCGCTCCCCAGGAGGCGCTGAAGGCAGGGACCCCCAAAAGACACGCACGGATTTCACCACTGCGGGAGTTCAGGGCAGCCACCACGTTCTCCTCAGTGGCCACAATCAGCTTCTTGGAGGCGGGGGAGGCTTCCAAAAAGGCGAATTTGAGCTTCCCCACGTACTGCTGCCTCCTGCAATAAAGGCAAAGAAAAACCACATTTTCACACGAATTCCCGCCATCATAAACTGAAATAACTGGGTGAAATATTCTCTACGTGGAAAACATGGATCCCATGGGGCAAACTCTCGTCCCCAGTTCCCCCGCTGGCCACGGTAGAGAGCCCAGCCACCCCCTCCCTCACCCTCTACTTATTGATTTGTAAAATGTATTGGCTGCTCTTCTTGCCACAGAATAACTCCGAGTGGCTTACACCTTAAAATCTTAAATATCTATAAGATTACACACCCACACGCGCAAGGCTCCCCAAGGCCCAGTGATTTATTTAGTGCATGGCAAATAACCCCAGCACTGATGATGTTACGTAGTTGGGTAATGAAACGTCTGCAAAAAACCACCAAACTCAGAGAGCACCAAGGACCTCACAGTCCTTTTCTCCTCCCCCTTCCCTCCTCCACCCCCCCATCTCCTCCTCTCTGCAAACCCTCCACTCCCTTCTAGCACTGATGATGTTCCCTAGTTGGGTAATGAAACATCTCCAAGAAAACAAGCAAGCTCAGAGAGCACCAAGGACCCCACAGTTTTTCTCCTCCTCCTCCTCCTCCTCCACCACCACCACTCCCTTCTAGCACTGATGATGTTCCCTAGTTGGGTAATGAAATGTCTGCAAGAAAACAAGCAAGCTCAGAGAGCACCAAGGACCCCACAGTTTTTCTCCTCCTCCTCTTCCTCCTCCACCACCACCACTCCCTTCTAGCACTGATGATGTTCCCTAGTTGGGTAATGAAATGTCTGCAAGAAAACAAGCAAGCTCAGAGAGCACCAAGTACCCCACAGTCCTCCTCCTCCTCCTCCCCGCAGACCCCTCTCCCTTCTAGCACTGATGATGCTACCTAGTTGGGTCATGTAACATCTGCAGAAAACCAACCAAATTCAGAGAGTACCAGAGACCCCACAGTCCTCCTCCTCCTCCTAGCACTGATGATGTCACCTAGTTGGGTCATGAAATGTCTGCAAGAAAATAACCAAGCCCAGAGAGCACCAAAGACCCCCCCCCAGTCCTCCTCCTCCTCCTCCTTCTAGCACTGATGTTGTTCCCTAGTTGGGCAAGAAAACCCAGCTCAGAGAGCCCCAAGGACCCCTTCATCTCAACCCTGAGCTACAAATATTCTCCTTTATTAGTTACGGCCAACAAGCTCAGAGAAGCAGCTGCCTTCGTCCCAGAAGCTAAATCAGGCCTGATTCGCCGCGTCTGGATGTTTCACCAACTCCACTAATCGTCTTCCTCTCGCCCCTCCCCCCCCCGCCAAAGCAAACATCCCTTATCTAGTGGCGGGGAGTTCCACAGGCCAACCCTGACGGGTCGGGAGGGCAGCCGGTCACCCACCAGTCGAACTTGCCCACTTGGTCCTCGTAGACGGCGCCCGCCGGCGGGAGAGGCCGGGAGAGGAGCAGGAGCGAGAAGATAAGCAGCGGCTGGCCGGGCGCCGCCATGACGACCCAGAGGGACAGGAGCCGGAAGAGGGAAAGAAGCCTCCGCAGTCCCGGCAGGCCCTGCGCGACCATAGAGGTCAGGAGATAGAGTTCCAGCTTCGGCTTTCGGCCCATAGAGGTACGAAAGTTGTAGAGTGACCTTGATAAAAAAAAAACAGGCCCCCAGGGGAAATCTCGCTCTAGTCTAGTCCCTCAGCTGGCTTTCCTTGTCACATCTAAGGCGGGAATCATTTAAAAAAAACGAAAGAACAAATGGAGAAAAAAGTGATCTATATATATTCAAGAAATACATAGATCTACAGTTGCCTTCCCATCAGGCACCGCGCGGAAGGCCCTCAACCGAGCCGCGAAGGGCCTCACGGGGGGGGAGGAGGAGTTGAGAGGCATCGGCGCATATGGCCTGATTGGGGGGAAAAAACAAAACGCAAAATAAATGAAATAAACGCTGGAAATAAAATAAAGCAGCGTTTGAAAAAAAAAAATCTTATAAAGAGGCTGGTAGGCAGCCCTGTTTTCCTGTGAGGCTTTTTTTCCTCAGCATCAGGAAATCAGGCGCCGCCGGGGACAACCTCACTCCTTCCGGTCGGCCCGCGAGGCTCCGCCCACCGCCGCCGCCGGAAGCTGCACGTGGGTGGCCGCGATGCCCAAGTCCAAGCGGGACAAGAGGGGTGAGTGGGACCCCCGGGGGTCTCTCCTTTCTCCCCCCCCCGGCTCGGGTCTTTTTTTCTTTCTCCCTCCCCCATAAAGACCCCTCCCCCCAAGGGGGAGCAGGGAACCCTCTTTGCTTTTGCAGGACTTTAATCCCTATTTATTTGCACAACAACCCTGCCGGGTAGGCCAGGCTGCAAAACAACAAGAGAAGGATGGTGGTGGTAGCCTTTTCTTCTAGCCTTTTCTCTCCTCTAAGGGTGGGAGAAAGCTTTGGCGCCCAGGTAGTGCCGAGTGATGGTTCCCGTCTCTTTCGTGGGCTGAGGATGATGGGCGTTGTAGTACTCCTGAGCATCACCTGCTCAGCTCGCTTTTTCCTTGCTCTAAATTTAAAAAAGAAAAAAAAAGGCGGAATTCCTCGCCACCAATTATTTACATGACTTTGAAAGTGGACTGGAGAAACTTGAATGAAGGTATTGATGAATGGATTAATCCCCCCTTAATTGCGGAGACTTATCCTGGGTCGAGATGGGGGTTCCTCCTGGAGACCTCCAGTGGCCACTCTGGAGCTGATCCCGAATCTCCAAATCTTATATCGAGGCTTTCTAAGAGAGATTACTTTGGGGGCTGATGGGAGAAGTCACTAGTTCACAACATGATGGAGAATGCAGATTTAAACTCAAGTAGCAAATTTGGAGGAGCGTGTTTCCGAGTTTCTTACAGAGATTCCAGTTGCTTCTTTGAAAAATGTATTCAATTTCTATAGCTTCCTTCCTTCCTTCATCCCTTTGTTTCTCTTTCCTTCATCTGTCTCCTTCCTTTCTTCCCTCCTTCATGTCTCTTCTTCTCCTTCATCTGCCTGTCTCCCTTCCTTCATCTGTCTCCTTCCTTCTTTCCTCTCTCCATTTGTCCCTTCCTTCCTTCCTTCCTTCCTTCTATATTCCCTGTGTGCTCTATTGTCCTTGCACTCCAGTAAAATTTCCAAATTAAACCACAATCTCGTTTTCCAAACATTCCCTATTGGATACTGAGCCCGTGTCTTTCTTCCTTGCAGTCTCCTTAACAAAAACCACCAAGAAAGGTTTGGAAGTTAAGCAAAACCTGATAGAAGAGGTAAGCAAGACTGTAAGCCAGCTGTTGGGCTGTTATTTTTTTCTTCAAAAGTCTCCTTAAAAGGGTCATTTTACAGGATTTGTTAATTTCACCAACATAAGAAAGGATTAAATTAAGGCCATTAGCCATAGCAGTATCACCTAGGTTTTCCGTGGGAAAATCCTGAAATTTTGTCCTGTGAAACTTCATCAAGATAGAAAATTGGGTGTGAAAATCAAAAACGAAACCAACCGCCAAATCCTTTTTTTGTCTTTAGCTACGAAAATGTGTAGACACCTACAAGCGTCTTTTCATTTTCTCCATTGCCAACATGAGAAACAACAAACTGAAAGATATTCGCAGTGCTTGGAAACACAGCAGGTGAGCGTGTCCCTCACATAGTTGTTGTTGTTGTTATTATTATAATAATAAAGTTGGAAGGGACCTTGGAGGTCATCTAGTCCAACCCCCTGCTCAGGCAGGAAACCCTATACCATTTCGGACAAATGGCTGTCCAGTCTCTTCTTAAAAACTTCCAGTGTTGGAGCATTCACCGCTTCTGGAGGCAGGTTGTTCCACTGGTTAAATGTTCTAATTGTCAGGAAGTTTCTCCTTAATTCTAGGTTGCTTCTCTCCTTGATGAGTTTCCCTCCGTTGCTTCTTGTCTTGCCTTCAGGCGCCTTGGAGAATAGCTTGACTGCCTCTTCTTTGTGGCAGCCCCTAAGATATTGGAACACTGCTATCCTGTCCCCCCTCGTCCTTCATTAAACTAGACATCCCCAATTCCAGCAGCCGTTCCTTATATATATTCCTTATAGTTTTGCCATTTCTGCTTCTAAAAATGAAGAAACCTCCAGGGGAACCATGTCTCCCCCCCCTTCCTATATTCCGTTAAATTCTCTGAAACCTATAAGAGTTTCTTAAAGCCATTCAGATTTTTACACAATGAGCAGAAACTGAAGACAATGCTCCCTTGAAGGAATACCTGAGCTTTTGAAATTTCACTAGATTTTTTTTTTAATTCCAGGATATTTTTTGGGAAAAACAAAGTGATGATTGTGGCACTGGGTCACAGCCCTTCGGATGAATACAAAGATAACTTGCATGAGGTAACGCACCAGACATTAAAAACTCTCTTTTGCCTGTGGCTACTGTACTGTACGTGTGTCAAGCAGACCCTTCCTCTGGGAACCCTCCAAGACCGGTGGTCCCAGAATCCTGAAGATCCTCCCACCCTGGGGAAAGTCAGTTCTTCACCTAGTTTTTCGTTCTCCTTTAGGTCAGCAAGCATCTACGGGGAGAGGTCGGCCTCCTTTTCACGAATCGCACCAAGGATGAAGTTATAAAGTAAGTTTTTTCCAAAAAGAATGCCCGAGGATTTCAACTAGGAAAGAAAAAACTGAATTTTGGGGGGGATTTTGGAAGTTTTCAGTGGAAGCTTTTTGAGAAGGGCTTTGCCCGGCATCCCTTGCCCTCCTAACCAGCCTGTGGGCTGCCCCATAACGTTTTTTTAGCCCCAAGACAAATAGGGCAAATCGCAAAATATCAGTCTGAATTCTGTACCTTTTCTGCTTTCGGAAGCAAAATAAATCTACAGCCTAGAAGAGAAATTATCACTTTGCAGTATTGCTGGTCAGTTGTAGAATCAGTTGCTCTGTGTCCTGTTTTTAGCCATCTGCACTCACCGTCCCTTTAGCTTTTCCTGGGGAAAAAAAATGGCAGTTCTTCCTTCACCTTTCTCTCCTCACCTATTGCTGTCCAGGTGATGCCAAGCAAGGACGCAAAGACAGAGTTGCTAGTCCCCGTGAATGTCAACTCCACGACTCTCTTTTCCTTTGCAGCTGGTTTTCCCAGTTCAGTGAGACCGACTTTGCCCGGGCTGGAAACAAGGCCACCTTCACGGTCAACCTGGATATGGGACCCCTGGATCAGTTTTCCCATTCCATGGAGCCTCAGCTAAGGCAGCTTGGATTGCCCACCGCCCTGAAGAAAGGTTGGGAACATAATCTGAAGAAACATTGGCCAGGTCCTTTCTCTGGCAACCTCCATTCAGGTATTTTCCCGTTTTTTTTCTCCTTGTAGGTGTGGTGACGCTGATCTCCGATTATGAGGTTTGCAAAGAGGGAGATATCCTGACCCCAGAGCAAGCTCGGATCTTGGTAAGTGACTGGCTGCAGATGGTCCTGCTTTTATAGGTCCCAAAGGTGCTCTTTCAAGAGGCAACTGGGCTTTCCTTTGAAGATGTTTTGCTTCTCATCCAAGAAGCTTCTTCAACTCTGACTGGATGGTGGGGAATGGAAGGATTTATACTCCTTGCAGACAGCTGGTCATTTGCATCCTTTTAGAGGGTCGTTGAGGCCACCTGGAGGTTTATCTGTGTCCTCAGGATCACCTGTGGAGCCTTCTTGGAACTGCTGAAAGGAATGTGTTGTAGACAGGACTTTGTTTTTTCTTTGAAGACGTTTCGCTTCTCATCCAAGAAGCTTCCTCAGATTCTGACCGGATGGAAGGATTTATACTCCTTGCAGACAGCCAGTCATTTGCCTTCTTTTGGAGAGTCGTTGAGGCCACTTGGAGGTTTACCTGTGTCCTCAGGGTCACCTGAGCGGTGCAGATGGGTGTGGAGCCTTCTTGGGTGCAGGATGTTTTCTGCCCTGGGTTGAAGACAGGTGCAGGGATGAGTCTGTTGTCTGCGTCTCAAACTGAAGCACAATACTGGAGTCTGCAATATTTTCTGGAAATACTCCATACTCTTCTCACCATCTGAAGGGTGTTCATCCCAAAGTGCATGGCTTAGTGTCTGTGGAGGTTATCACTCATCCAGGCCACAGTTGTCCCAAAGGGGCTTTTTTCAGGAGGCAACTGGACTTTTTTGTTTTTCCTTTGAAGACGTTTCGCTTCTCAGCCAACAAGCTCCCCACCATCCAGTCAGAGCTGAAGAAGCTTCTTGGATGAGAAGCGAAACATCTTCAAAAAAAAAACCAAGAAAGTCCAGTTGCCTTGTGAAAAAAACACCTTTGGGACAAGTATGACCTGGATGACGGAGAATCTCCATGGATACTTTCATAGGTGCATTTTCCATTAGATTCCCCTAAACACACAACCCCATTGCGCCACAATACTTGGGAATTGCAACAGAAACTATTCTTCATTCCTGTTTCCTCCAGACCAGTGCATCTGGTTCCCTCAGGCACAGTTTTAAAATACTTTTTCCAGACTTGACACCCCTCCAAGTGCAAATTCTACTTAACATGGGTGAAAGATAGCTGTTGTTTAAAT